AAAGATGGGTTGTACTCAGTTGAATCAGCCTATAGAAGCTTCTCCCAAGTAGATGAAGAAGGTACCTCAAAGGGACATGTTCGTTGGCCAAAACTTTGGACAATAAAAACTCCTTTTAGGTGCCAGCTCTTCAGATGGAAGGTTCTGATGAATGGGGTTAAGACGAAACAAACAATTTGGAATTTAAGACACTCAGGAGATGTAAATTGTACTTTCTGCGATAGTACTCCTAAAACTCAAACTCACATCTTCTTTGGATGCACTTTAGCAAGAGCTGCATGGCTAGATGCCCAAGTGGGTTTCAACCCAAAATATTTTGTTGCCTCAAGGTCGGTGGATTTTTTAAGTTGGTGGTTGGGTAGCTACTCTAGTTCAGAAGAGTTAAAGAACTTTTATATGGCTAGAATTTTGGCCTTCCTTCGAGCGATTTGGGATCACAGAAATGATGTGATATTTAGAGGTAAACTTCTGAATCCATTGGAAGTTAAAAGACTTGCAGATAAATATGTTCCTTTTACTGGGAACACTCAGTAGATTGATATCCTAAGTAATAGTGCTCACGCTGCCCTCCCTATTAATCTGTTCTCCTTCAATTCACACTCTCTAGGTATAGTTGATGGATCTTGGAATACAAACACCTTCTCTACTTCTATAGGATTGTACTTATTATCTTACACATACAATATTTGCATTGTAGAAGGACAACAATGCCATGCCATTAATGTCACAAAGCTGAAATTTTGGACAATCATCAAAGGCTTAAGAAGACTCATTTTGCTGAGAATCAGTAAAACCACTCTTATCTCGGATGCAAAAGACGTTCTATTAAAGCTAAAGGGAGCCATTGGAAACATTAGATGGAATGAGCAGCACTACTGAATCATATTAAGTATCTCCTTACCTTTTTTTGATAATATAAACTTATTGTATGTAAATAGGAATGATGTTAGCACCGCCCATACTAAAGCAACAAGGGCAAATGTGAATAGGACCCAGTTTTTTGTTTCTCGACCTCCCTCAAAGATCTCACTCTTACTTTTGTATACTTGATATTTCTAGTGGATCCGTTTACTTTAAAAAAAAAAGTGACCACTCTCATAATTGAACCAATGGCATAAGACTCATAAAGTTATTAAATTATCTTTATGTTTTAATTACGATATATCACATAATCACTATCAGCTACATGAATCCTAATTCGCCTGTTTAATGCCATGTCCATTGCTAAATTATGATCACTAAAATCATGTAAATATAATAAATAAATACGGTGATTATGATTGGAAAGACATGATATTTGAACAATTCATAACCAACCAATTGACATCATAAAAGTGATAACCAATCAGGTAGGTTTTTATTAAAATTCAAGGGGTTTTAATTGGTCAAATTCATGGATTTTCCCTTTTTTAGGCAGTTTATAGCTGTTGTTGAAAACAACGCACTGTGCACACTAGAGAAAAGCAGACAATAGGGTAAAATACAAAAACCTCTCCTGAAGTTTTTGACAATCATAAAAAACTCTCCTATAATTTTAATTTAACAAAAGCCTCCCCTGAATTTTTAAAGAATTCAACAAAAACCTCCCTTCCATCATTTATCTTAGATGAAAAACTGTTAAAATTACGAAAGTGCCCCTAATTAACTGTCAAAGTGTCACTAAAATATTTCAAAATACTAGAATTGTAAAAATTTCAAAATACCAGTTCCTAATTTAGCTTTAAAGAAGCTCATTCAGCAGTTATGTTCCGACAACCGAATACCAGTGGTTGAAACAGGTGGTAGGAGTCGTGACATTACAAGAACCATTTTTGTCAACAATTCAGCAGCTGCAGAAGACATGAAAAAGCTTGCAAAGTTTTTAGCCGGTAGGCTTGCAAAAGGGATGGGTGAAGAGAGAAAGAAGGCCGCTAGTGAGATCAGGTTACTTGCAAAATCAAGCATATTCAACAGATCCCGCTTGGCAAGTGCAGGCACAATCCCCAATTTATTAAAGCTTCTATCCACAACTAATCCATCAATACAAGAGAATGCCATAGCATCCCTATTGAACCTTTCAAAACATTCCAAGAGCAAAATGTTAATTGTCAAGAACAATGGATTGGAATTGATTATGGACGTTCTAAGAGGAGGAATTACAAAAGATTCTCAGCAGATAGCAGCTGCTATACTTTTTTATCTTGATTCAGTTGAGGAGTACATAGATGCCAAATTTAATCTCTTCCTTGGTAGAGCTGATGAGAATTGGAACAGTTTGTAGAAAGAAGAATGCTTGTGAAGAGAAAGCAGACCACTGCCACTAAGAGTTGTTGTGGCGGTGAAAAGAAACAGAGGAAGGGAAAACAGAAAGAAGAGAAGATCGAGAAGAAGAGAATGAGAGGAAAAAAAACGAAGAATAATGGGAGAGGGGAGAGAGGAGAGGATCAAAGAGAAAGAGAGAAAAAATAAGAGAATGAGAGTGCTTCGAGGAGGTCACCACCGCTAGTTGGCAAAACTCTATTCGCTGTTAATGTGAAGAAGATGAATAGTGCCTTTCGGTTGCTCCGGCTCAATGGAAAAGAGGGGAAGAAAAAATAGTGAGGGAAGATTGGGGAAGGATTTCACGTTGTTCCCTCGTTCTATGTCGAGAGGAAGGGGAAGCAGGGCCAATTTTAATATTGGGTAAATTATAAAGGCCCCCCTTTTACTATGGGGTTTGTGACAAAGGCCCCTGTACTATGTTTTGCGACAAAGACCTCCCTGTACTTTGATTATGAGACAAAGACCCCTTCCGTTAGTCTTCCTTCAAATCCGCCGTTACAATATTTTTTAATCCCCATACTACCCTTATAATAACTATTCTCATAAAATATTGTTGATCTTCCCCAACCTCAAGATATTGCAGATTTTGAGCTGAACCATTCTCGAGCCTTCCATTTGGCTATTTAGGGAGTTCCAGCTATCCATACATCGTGACAATCAAGTTGCAGAGTGTTATCCATCTTCTCTCACTCGTGTATCCATAACGACGGTCGAAGTCGTTGAACCAAGGAAGATTCTTAGGCTGGTCGAAGCGGGGTGGCCAGTCACGGACTCTCCAAACTCGTCGATATGATAGCGGCGGTGCCGGAATCGGAACGCAAGTCTCTACTCCCCCGCCAATGAGACAAGCCCATCTGCACCGCTTCTAGTATTGTTTGTGGCTATCATGTCGAAGCCCCATCGTTGTCCACACATCGCTACCACTGGGAACATCTGTGTGTATTTCCCCGGTGTATTCCCCCATTACAACATATTATAATCGTCATTTGAGTAGTAATGGGAACCCAAACAGCACCCACTGGAAATTCCAGTGAATGTCGTACACAAGCGTAATCCCAGTGAACGCCTGTCGCAGCACCCATCAGAAATTCTTCTTCTTTCTCATCGACCCTTCCAACGGCTAAAGTCATTCCAAAACCCTCGAAACAAAACACCACCACCCCTCCGACGAACAACAACCCGCCAATGCTTGTAATCACCTCTCTTAGAAAAACCGTCAAACAATTGGAGGTCTTCCTTAACGACGATTGCCATCACCAACACGTTGCAGATGTCTGCGAAGATGGTGAAAGGGGAGAGAGCGGAGAGAGAACGAATCCATGAGAGAGTGATTTCGACAAGGACGAGAAGGAATATGTAAGAAGATAATGTCAAGGTATGGGTGCCCACGATGGATGGCAGGTTTTGGCCGATGAAGACGAGATAAGCAACGTAGTCACCACATTAGGAGATGCAAATAAGGAACTCCGTCAGATACCAACCTGTCATTCCAATGGCTTTGAAACCCAAGTCACCATACATATGAACTTCTTCTGATGCTAACCTGTCTCTGCATTGAACCTGTAGAAACAGAGAAGATGGATTATATTTGTGGGTTTTCGATATATGGTAGAGTTAACCAAAATCTTGACGAAAGGAAAGAGGAAAGAAGAACAAACAAGGAGGAGCATGCAGCTACTACTGCAAAACAACACTAGCTCCCTACTCAATTCATTAATAGCACGTTAGATCAAGAAGAATGGGAATCGTAAGTGTAATCTTACAAGCTAGATCGCTATAACCTGGCCTTTAACACACTTGATCCCTGTCCATCCCCCTGAACAAGCTCCGAAGCCACTATCATTCCAGCTCCGTAAGATTCCCAGAGGATTGAGTGACGATTATCCCATCCCACGACAGGTTCAATACTGAATGGAAGGTGAAAAGCAGTAGTTGAAGGAGCAAGAACAAGTGGTTAGAGCAATCGCACCAAAATAGCAGGTGAAATGCAACGATCCTCTTCCCCTTCACATCTCACTCGGTTAGAGCAATCGCACCAAACTCGTATGCTGTTAAGGGAAAGGGGAAGAAAAGAGATCGGGAGAGAGAGAGAAATGCAAAATAAGGTCAGGGAAGATCAGGGAGTCTTTGTCACAGTCCCCATAGTATTTTAATATTTTGAAATATTTTAATGAGAGGTATATTTATAATTTTAATGGTAGAAGAAGAAAAGATCGTGACTTCTTGAGACAGAGATGTTTTTAATTTTCGTTGCCTGCGTGCGCGTATTTAATTGGAGAGTCGTGCAGCAACCGAGAGATATTGGGATGAAGCCAAGGTTCAAAGTATGGATACATTTAAAAAGCCGGTGGAGGCATATCTGAGCGTATCACTACCTGTTTCTTTATTTATTTTTAGTTTTTTTTTTTAAATTTAATTAAGAGGGGTCGATTTATAAGGTCCGTCCACTCTCTAAACAGGCTAGGACCACGAAACACCCCTTATAGAGGAATATGAGAAAACCCCAGTACGATATTTATCGATACGGTGGAGCCAATGCCAAACTGTTATTGACGTGTAAGGCGCAGGCCCATCATGTTGGTCAAAATGAGATGAGGCGGCCGGTGAAGGAGGTATGTGTGAACGTCAAAAGTTGATATTCTAATGGTCAATTAAATAGAAGCTCTAGTGTTCAAAATTCAAACATTGACCAGAGAAGAGATACGAAACTTATCCTGTGGATCTCCTTTATCTTTATTTCTATGGAGAACTTAAGTTCTCTCTCCCAACTCCCAAGTCCCAACTACATCATATAAGTTACAACAACAGAAAAGAAAACGGGAAAATAAAAACGATAACAATCGACGAGTTTATCCCCTAAATGGCTGCTAAATGACATAATCAGACCACTCAGTAATAAATGAGGTAAGATCCATGTTGAAACTAGGGATCTCATCCAACTTAATTGGATTCGCCTTCCCTCCGATCAATTTAGCAGGGTTTCCCACAGCAGTTGTTCTTGGGGGTACTTCCTTGAGCACTACTGACCCTGCTCCAATTTTGGCTCCATCACCAATTTTAACATTCCCCAACACATTAGACCCTGCACCCACCAACACCCCATTCCCAATCTTAGGGTGTCTGTCCCCGCTTACTTTCCCTGTACCCCCTAATGTCACGTTATGCAATATAGATACATTGTTCCCAATCACCGCAGTCTCTCCGATCACCACTCCGGTTGCGTGATCCAATAAGATGCCCCGACCGATTTTCGCCCCGGGATGGATATCCACTGCAAACACTTCCGAAACCCGATTCTGAATCAAAAGAGCTAGTGATTTCCTACTCTGTGACCACAATTTATGTGCAACTCTATGTGCTTGGCATGCTAGGAACCCTTTAAAATTCAGCAGGCACTGTACATAACTGATGCAAGCCGGGTCTCGTTCCTTCACCGCCCTTAGATCATCTCTGATGTCTCTCCTGATCTCCCAATCCTCCGTGAAGACGCTCAAGAAAACCCCTGATAGGGTGTCTGAAGAGATGCTGGAGGTGCTTAATTTGTTTCCTAGATGGTTTGCAAGTGCGCTTTCTAAAGAATTATGGGACAGGATCGACACAAAGTAGTAATTTGCCAATACCGGCTCTTGCTCTGCCTCCGATTGAGCTTCCTCTCGCATTTTCATCCATATTTCTTCTTTGCCATTGCTGTCTTGACTCGCCGGAGCACACGGAACAAGCTCTGAAACTGGATGCCTTGAGGGTTTCATGTAATTGTTGTAAGGAGATTTGTCGAGATGGGAGTCGAAAGAGAGCAGTTTTGTGGCAGCATCGGTGGTTCTGCAACGGTCGACGCATGTTGCCATTATTGTCTTGGAGGTCTTCCTGTGGCACCTACTAGACCGGGTGGGTTCGGGGAGGATCGGCGAACCGACTAGAGAAGCTGACATTAGAGAGAAAGAGAGATGTGGTTGGTCGAGAGAAGGATTTTCAGATGGCGGTGGTGGTGTTGGAATTGGAGGTGCCGCGTAGGTTACTTATATAAAAGCTCAAAAAATCATGAGCTCACGACTTACGCCGTTACGCCTACGCGCAGTTTCGTGGGGAAGTCTTCTTTATTATTATTTTTTTCTTCTGTTTGAAAAAAATAAATAAATAAATTTTTTTCAGTATATATCCTCTGCTTCTCTTTTATTATGCCTGGTGCTGGTCTCGAGGAAGTTAGAGCAGTCAATGGACCCCATCTGCACCCTTTTTGTCCCACTCCTGTGCTCCCCTTCAACGTTTATCGTATAATATCCAATAAATAAAAGGAAAATTTCCTCATCAGTACCCTCTACTTTGGGTCACTTTGATATGATGCAAGTCGAGCGGGTTGGGGTCGGGTTTATTGTCAATCCAGGCTCGGTTCTAAAATTTGGGTTTAAGGCCCGAGCTCGAGGTCAAGTTTGATTTTTTCAATCCAAGTTTAAACCGCCCTATAATTTGATATATTCGGGTTGGGTTCAGGCTTGGGCTAAGTTTGGGTTGGTCAATGAATCCACTCTAATATTATATATATAAATGTATTTATGCAAATATATATATATGTATGTAAATGTGTACGTAAATTATCTATATAAATGTTATATGTACAAATATGTATATATATATATATATGTATGCAACATTTACATATATATACATATACATATAAATGTATATAATTGGGTTGGGCTCAAGCCAGGTTCAGGTTACCTAAGGGCTAGGCCTGAGCCCAGCCCGAAAAAAAATTGACTTCTTGGGCCCAAGCCCAGCTCGAGGACCGAAAATCCAAGCCCAACCCGTGCAAAATTCCGGGTTGGGCTTGTTCGGGCTCGGGCTGGCCTTCCCAAGTTGCACCCCTATACTTTGATCCCCAAACTTTAAAATGTGACAATTTAGTACCCGAACTTTCAAAACGTGACAATCCAATACCTGTCGTTAACTAGCTGTTAATCAGCCATTAAGTGACATTTTAAAAAGACACAAATGCCTTTGAGTGTCATCTAATTTTCTTAATCAACTATCCAAACATTGACAAAAAAAGCGACATTTTAATAGTCCCAAATCCTTGCCACTTCTATTCAAGAAAGTTGGGGTCATCTAAATGCCCACTCAAACTTAACCCCAACTTTCTTGAATGGAAGAAGCAAGGATTGGGAACTGTTAAGATTTTGCCAACGTTTAGATGGTTGATAAAGAAAAATAAATGACACTCGAAGGGCATTTGTGTCATTTTCAAATGTCACTTAACAATAGGTTAACTGTTGATTAATGATAGGTACTGGATTGTCACGTTTTGAAAGTCCGGGTACTAAATTGTCGCATTTTAAAGTTTGGGAACCAAAGTGGCACTAGGCACAAAGTACAGGGTAATAATCAGGAATTTTCCCTAAATAAAAGGTTGGTGACTCCAATCTAATTAGGGATGAATAATAAAAACCGAAAAACTAAAAAACTAAATTGGACGAATGAGACTGAATCGAAAATTTTGAGTGGCTACGAGTCGAGTTCTTTACGAGCTATTCAAGCTCGGCTTGGTTTCAATCAAGCTTTGAGTCGAGTTCAAACCCAATTTACAAGATTGTTTATTAGTCGAGCTGAGCTCAAATAGCTACATATAATAATAATAATAATAATAATAATAATAATAATAATAATAATAATAATAATAATAATAATAATAATAATATATTATAGAAAATAATATATATAATAAAAAAATTATATATAATTTTAATTTTTATAAAACATTTTTCTCAAATCGAGCTTGAGCTGAGCCGAGCTCGAGCTTTTGACTCGAGCTAAGCTCGAGCCGAGCTTAAATAACTAGCTATTCGGTTTGGCTCGATTTGAATCCACCCCTAATTTTGATTAATTGAATTAATCGATTCAGTTTAGGTTTATTATTTTTAAAAAACCAAAAATATCATTTTAATTTCAATTAATCAATATAGAAAACCAGAGGTTAATCGAATTGATTGGTGTATATACATATATATATATGTATATAATATTATTTATTATTTAAAATGTAATATTATATATATTTCCAGTTTTTTATTATATATTTATTTATAATATATACTATAAATATAAAAAACCGAAAAAACGACAAACCAAAGCGATGATTAACGAATCAATTTTGGTTTTATTTCAGTTTTCTAGAAACTTATAATACCGGTTCAATTTAAAAAATAGGCCCAGGATTCAGTTAATTGTACCGTGAACACTCCTGGATCTAACATTTAAGCCGCCTCCCCCGTCTCTGACCAATAAATTTCCATCTCTGCACTGGATTTGTATAAATTTATTATACATCCCCGGTCTCTAGATTCTTTACAGATGAGTTTACTTTAAGCATCCGAATCCTCAACAGTAATTTTTGAAAAATATATTTATTTAAAATAAAAAATGTTAAAATATAAAGAATATAGCTAATCGGGGTCAGGGCTTCAGAAAGTCAAGAAATGCAAGTGGTAAACCGAAGACTAGCTACAGGTACAGCAGTATGTGACTATATGGGATCCAAGCAATTATTAAAAAGTCGTCGAGTTGTCAATAATATTTTAATTTCAAGTATTTCAACGCTGTAACTTGGTCTTGCCTCCAATAAAACCGCCTTTTATCATGGTTTCATTTTGGAATTTGGACTAAATCATATCATATCCATTTTAACTCTTAATTTCTTCTTGCGTATGCTAACCCAACAAGATTCAGCTCCTCACAAATCATAATCCAATTCCAGCCATTTGTATTGGTATCTCCTTTTTCTACTTTTCTTTGAGAGAGATCTATTTTAGCGTGGAAATTCTCATAGTAGTGGGACTCCGCATGGAGAGCGATCCTTGTTTGTATTATGCTGCATTGTTAGTATTATATGCACTTGGACATAGTAGTCCAGTTGTCCAATATTTTATAGTACTCTTTTTCTATATTTTATTCTTATTTGGTATTGATGTTATTGTTTTAGAGATATGTTTTTGAGAAAATAGTGTTGTATGTACAAGGTCTTTTGTATCATTTGCATTAATGCTGTGTTACATAGGTTGTTTTTTAGAAAAAATAGCATTGGTTTTATTTGGTACAAGTGATGTATTTATAACTGTTTTTAGCATTTGTCTATTTATCTAACGCTGATTGATGCCATATCATTGCATCGTTGATAATAACAGATTATTTTTTTAAAAAAAATATTGTATTTGACATTTCTTCGTACCACACTTTCTTAATTTTCAAGATATACTTACATAGTTTAAAACAACATTTTTTTTTAGAAAAAACGATGCCAAATAAAAGACCGCTTTCTAAAGCACTATTTTTTCTGATATGGACCCGATGTAGCACTATTTTCTCAACGGCATCGATGCTGTAAACACCGCCATGGTCAATAGACTCTTCCTCTTCTTTTTAGTTTTTAATGGTCAAGTCATAGTTAAGAGTTGGTCATACGGTACATATATGCTTCTTTCTTAATTGTTGGGGTGTGCTTAATTTATTTCATTTCAGGATAATTTTTTCAACCTTCAAGGCTTCATCAGCATGATACAATATTAATGTAAGCAAATTTAAAATGTTCAACTGCTCAAGTAGTCTAAGCGGGCTGATGATTGATTACGCTGGTTTTTGACGTGAGGCTGGGTCAAGAATGAACCGTTCAAGGATGATCTTGACCCGCCGAATGTGAAACCGGAAGCAATCGATGCGAGCTCTAACCCTGTAAACTCAGATTCATTATTCTGATGTTTTCGTTTTCTAAGTAAAAATGTTGGAAGTATCAAAATATTCCACAGGATTTATACGTATGTGCTTTTTTTTTTTCTTTTTGAGAAACTACGTATGTGCTTGTTAAACAATTTGATTGGAATTCGCTTTAATGTGATAATCCCACATTCCCACTTTGCTTTGAAATTGCCTTAAGTGTCGTTTGATAATATTGAATCGGGCTCTGAAATATGAAAAATCTGCTTTTTACGCCACCTTAAAAGTTAAAATCAGATCTAAATAAACAAATTCTTTCATCTGAAATCATTTTCAGAGTCAAAAGACGGCTCTTATTTTCAGAGGTCAAGGGAGCAACTGACGTGTTTTTAACTGATAAATTGTGGAATTTTGCATATCTTAGATCCTTATCTATTTTGCAATTTGTGCTGATTCCATTTGATGCGATGCCAATCCAATGGTAAAATGTTTGCTTCTTCTGTTTTTTCACTTGACATGGACGTGATCTGAAATCTTATTCTTCTTTATTACCAGCGTTGCTTTTTCTTGAAAAAATGGTTTCTTGTAAGTCGTAACTAATTATACTTCTTTTATCTGGGTCTCATGTTTCTACTGTATTCCTTTCTTTTTTGACAAGCAAACCAAGGGAGAAGGGAAAGTGCTAATTAAGCTCAGACATCATCAACCAGTTAGCAGCCTAGCTTATGTCAAGTTTTCTTCTTCAATGGTAAAATGATAATAATAATCTGGACCATAACTCTTTAAACAGGAGGATCCATCCGGTTTCCTTAATAACGTTTCTTCACCATTTAAATATTTCACAATTTTCCTTCCCCTATGTAGAACAATATTATTATATATTAATGAGTGTTTTCAATTGGGCAAAGTTTTTCCAGTTTGAATAAGTTGCATTAGCTATTATATATATATATATATATATATATATATATATATATATATATACAAATAGCTCTTCCATTAAGCTATGGGGTAAGATTAAAGAAAGCCATGGGACACCCAACAAAAGCTACTCGTACACGCACATTCATTAAAACGTCGGTATCACCATTATGGATGTTTATATTCGTGGTTGTGAGAAGTTGAAAATATTGTTGCATCTTTCGCTTAGGGATGGCAATTTTTCCCATCCTAACGGGACTCAAATTCCTCGACTTGATGGGTCAAGGATGGGGATTGTTTTGGCGGGATGGAGATGGGAATGGGGATGGAGATTGAGGTCCCCGCCCCGCCCCGACCCCAATTAGGTATATATATATTATATTATTTATATTTATATATATTAAATATATATTATTATATTATATTATATATATCAAAACATATTTAAAAATCATTTA